TAGTCGGCTTTCTTCCCAGAGGAAGAGAGAATTTTACGTTTATCTCTGGTTTCGATGAGATAAGGTTCCAGAGCATCGCCAAAAAGCTTAGCGCCTGCGAATGAAACTGAAGCCAGCTTCCATTTTCAGCATGACTCCGCCTGCCAATTTCGGAGCCATAAAAGTCTTCTTATTGCTACAGAAGATGCCATGGCCTTGGATGCAAATTTGGCAGAATTGAGAGTGGCATCCGCAGTGAATTCCACCGCTGCAATAATCTTATTAAGGTCTTAGTGAGACCGAAGGTCAGAAGCAGGCAATCTGTTCTGGAGTTGGCGCAGCCACCGTAGGGGTACTCTCGTGAAAAAGGATGCTGCTGTTGAAGCCCGAACAGCCCAAGCAGCAGCCTGGTGATTGCGCTTGAGGGTATGTTCAGAGCGTTTATCATCAGGTTTCAGGATATCTTCTGGCTCCGTGGGAGTGCTAGAAGATGAGAACGAGGCCAGAACCAGAATGTCAACAGAAGGCACTGCCAGGGCATTGTCCAGAGCTGTGCTGACATTGTAGAAACGCTTATCCAGAGAAGATGGGCGAGGACCTGCTGAAGGAGAAGCGCACTGTTCCTTGACCATGTCCAGGAACAAAATGGGAGAAGGCAAAACCTCTGCATGCACTACAGGCTTGGGGAAGACCGAATCCCCTTGGCTAGAGGGATTTCCTTGTGGCTCGGGAGCCACTTCCTCTGGTGACAGCTTGGCAGTGACCAAGGCCTTGCTGAGTAATGGCCTGAAGAGAGTAGGTTTGAAGACCAATGCAGAGGATGTCTGCTCTGGGCAAGAATCCTCTTCCTTGAAAGATTTTGGTCAAAAATCTCACCCTATTCACACTCTGAATGAGAAGAGTAAATGTGTTCAGATGGTGAAGGCCTTCCTTCCTTATCAACCTCCTCCCATTCTGGTAGAGAAGAATGGACCCTGAGGTCCCAAGGCCTGTGTAAATCAGGATGATGAGGCAAGGAACTTATAGATTGAGAAGGAAGAAGGGCCTGAACCCTTTCCAGAGGTTGAAGAATTTACTTGAAGCTTTCAGCCAATCCCTGCCTAATGGCTGATGAGACTACATCTTGGATATCCCTTGGTCTATGCTCAAAGGTAGAGGCAGAAGGCAGAAGGCCCACTGCTGTGGAAGTGAAGGTGGCTTCAGGCCTAGATTGAGGAGAGGTTCAAGGCCTGGAGGGAGGGGGAGGAGCATAGGGCACAGAAGCCTGTTGGAAATAAGGCCCAGATCTGCTTAGATCCTGAGGATCTGATTGTACAGCAACAGCCCCAGGAGACCAGGATGGAAGATGGAAAGGCTCATAGATAACTTCTCCTCCCCTGGGAGGGCTTGGTTGGGGACCACGAGTATCACCTGAAACATGCTGTAGTTGCACTCCCTTCTGTTGAATAGTTCTGTTGAACTGCCTCTCTAGAGCTGCATGTCTGCGCTTCTCTGCCCTCAATTCAGTCTGAGTTGCCTTCTTAGGGGCTAGAGCCTTAGCTTTGATTTTAGCAGCCACCTCCCTCTGGACTGATTGGGTGCATTGCCTACGTCTTTTTCTCTTATTGGGCTTAAGAGACTGTTCCACTAGGGGGGAAAGCTCTGCCAGAGCTCCATCTTGCTCCATTTGTAAAATAAAGCCTCTTGCGTTGGAAAGAAGCTGTTTAGAAATCTTTCTATTAAGCCCCTAGGGTATAAATGGCCCCCGGGCTTACAAAATGGCCGCTCACCTCATGGTGGAAGACTTGAATCCAAGATGGCCGCTGACTACAGGAAACAGGCTCCAAGATCGAAGAATCGCTCCTTAGGCTATACAGAGCCCCGAGCGAAGTCAGCAAGGGAAAACGGAGCAACCAGCCACACAATCAGCTGGCTTGTGCTCTTATCAGTTTGCCGATCATTTTTACGATCCCTCCAAACCGCAGGCCTGGGGAAGGTCTACAGACGCTGCCCAGCTTGCCTGCACAGAGCTCTGTAACACTGCTCCCAACGTTGCTGGAGAGCAGCTGCTCCTGGAAGAGCAGCTGCCCTGGGAGCTGCTTGAAGCGTGGAAAAAAGTACTGAAGATCGCAGGTGAGTGCTAACAGAATGCTTTCAGAGACACAGCTACTGACTGAAAGGAGCTGAGTCAAAAGCTGGGGTCTCTCCTTGGGGCTGGCTTTTATATCTTAGTACAGACTCAGCTAAATGATGTCATAGGAAAGAGTCAACCCATCCTGGGCTCTCGATGCAGCATGGAGGAGAACTTAAGGCTCTTTCACAAGAACCACACCCATACAGTATGTACCATGCAGTGTAGCTCCTGCTAAACTTCCTTTAGCCTGTTTTTGACTGGTGAAAGGATGTTTGTCTTTTAAGTTCTTTGAGATTCTCTAAATCTTCTACTTATTTTTAATTTTAAGAATATGAGGGAGAGGGGTATCCATTGCTCCCCAAAACGTAAAAGTGAAGAATATATCATTGTGAAAAATAAATGATATTAATTCCATCATTTACATCACAGGATTAATAATATGGTAATATATACTAAAACAGGCTAAGATTATAAGACAAGAATTCAAGCAAATATTCTATTTTCAAATGCAAAATCTATATATAAGCAATTTAAGATGGCAAAATCTGATTTGTGTGTGGTTTTTTTCTTGTCAATGATGCTAGAAACATGTTTTCTATGAAAGTAGATCTATCTTCATTTGTTGATTGTTTTGGAATGTTTACTAGACATCCTGTCAAAATGAGAACCAGCTCTCAATCTGGTCATTTATGAAGAGGAAATAAAAAATACAGATTGGAGATAGATTAATTATCCTGCAGAAAAACTTAAGTAGTCACTAAGAGCTAACACCAGATGGCACATAATCAAATGACAGAAGAAGTAAACTGATTTGTAAAGATCAGCTTTGACTCAACACTTACATGGAACAAAAGGGAACTCAACTTATTTCAAGGAACATAGCGTTACTCCTATAACATGACTAGATTCAATGTTGGTAAATACCAACTTTATCCTTTCTTAGTAAAGAATATATTCATACATTTAACAAAATTCAGTTCATTCTTTTGACTCCTTGTGTAGAATTTGTGGACACTTTGCTTCTTTTTAGAAGGATGGCCAAACAGTTGCTGTGCTTGGAAAATTATTTTTGTAGTTTTGGTCATTGTCATGTGCTGAAATTCAATCCCTGGTATCTTTGCAAAGTATCTCAGATTAAAAGTAGAACTTACCATATAGTAAGAAACACACCATTATTTCCACAATATGTATAGATTCAAAATGTTAAATCTTAAATTATTCAATTTGTAATGTTTTATTACATTGATTAAATTATGCACTCCCCAGTGCCCCTCTGAGTGAGATGGACAGTTAAGAAGTTTGATATATAAATAAAATAAATATATAAGTTTGCTAAATGCCAACTTTCTCACACTTCTTCCAGGACAACCATTCTAGAACTGTACCAGGGTTCACCTGTTCACTATTATCCAGTTGATTCAGACGAAAAGCTTGCAAGCCATCAATATGTGATTTGTGGAAATCATAAGAAAAAACTGGATACTTGTCTTTATAGTTTTTCAAATGTCATTTATAAAGTCATACAACCTGTCTTATACTACATAGTCTTTGTTTCTTGAGTTTGTCTGCAGTGATTTTAGGAGCAGAAGTGAGTTCAGTGGGAGCCATGCCTAGCAGCATGTTATGAATGGATGGAGTTCACATTGAAGACCCTTAAGATCTAAAAATTTTCACTTGGGGCAATGCATAAGAATATAATTATGCATGTGAATTGACAGATGATTATTTGAAAAACAGTTATTTTTTGTACTGCAGAGAGTAAATTTTTTAATATTTGCTTAGTAGGTTCACCAGTGAGCAAGTCATCGAGATGGTATAACAGAATACTGAAATTCTTATCTAACATTTCTTGTTACTAAAAATTACCATCTCAATAAACTATATAAGCTTCCTTTTATAGAAAGACTAAGTACTTTCTTATATGTTTGATAATTACATAAATAAATACTATTAAGTATTCAGAGAGCAGAGATATGAAAAAATAAGTGGATTTTTCAATGGGTCTTAAGATGGTTTTAATGTAAGATTATTGTCACTTTTTTCTGTGAACACACTGGCACACATGAAAAATGAAATTCTGATGCCAACTCTCTAAAGAAAATAAATTTATATTCATACACGTACATGTGCACACACATACATATGCTACACACACATACACATTACATATATATATATATATACACATAATATATAAATCATAGTCCATTTTGAATACATAGTGGAAAAAAATCTTGGGAGTTAACAAGATTGATACTATAAGATACAAAACTATTACAGAATCTAGTTCTGATTGGGGATACCATAAAGACTCCTCCTAGAAGGTAACAAAAGTAAATAGCTTTTATAAGTTATTTTGTGCATTTAAAAAATTGTGTGCAACATGTTCTTTCAAGGAATTATACAACATCCTGATATTATTTCTTGGCTGCCTGCTGGATTTCAGATCATGGCTGCTTTTTTTTCTTCACCTTAAATGTCCTTCAATCATATTTGCATTCTATAAGCATCAACACCATCATCTACTCAAAAAGCAATTGCTAGTCTTTTATGTAAATTATTACTCTGCAGCTTTACTGCCAAGATTTATGGCAGTATGTTACATTCAAGCACTCCTTTTCAACAACACCTGATTTCAGAGAGCTACATACAATATCTGCTAATACCTGGCATTCTCTCCTTTTCTCTTCTCCTATTTGCATTCCTTACATAACCCCAAGTCTCCTGCGGCGAGTCTCCAAATCTCTGGAGCAGATTTGGGAACATAGAGAAGTGGCAAACCTGAATCATCTGTTCTGTTGGGGAGGGAAGCAACTAAATACAACTTAGAAATTATACAAGTTGTACAATGATAAAGAAATTTTATTATTTTTCATCTTACCATTGTTTCCATCTCTTTTTGCTCTAGAATTAAGTGCATACTGTTATAGATGACTGTCTTTCTCTCTGAAATGCACCTCTGGTCGGTGAAAAGCATCTTATATGTTGAAGGTAAAACAGATATTATATTTTCCTTCAATTTTTAAAGAAACTTACCAAACCATATTAATATTAAGTTTAATGTGGTGCATTGCACTTAGTTTCCAGATTCATACAGTGTACAAAAATTTGTTATTCATTCTCTAACAAGTGACAGCATTCATTATCGGACCAACACTATCTGAACAAAAAATTGTGATTTTTACCTTGATTTTCTAACTGTTTAAAACTTTGCAGGACAGAATACTTACCTGTAAAAACTTTGAGCTGAAAATGAGGTAGATTGTCAGACTTCCTTGCTACTTATTTCAGAGAGGATAATATCCCAATTATATAACATGAATCAAATGTCTATCAGACTATTTAATACGATACAGTAGATAGTCTTTGTTATGTATTGTATTGTAATTGCAGTAAAGATTTTTTTCAAGTATTTACATGTACAGTATATATGTGTATCTACATTATGTCTATAAGAAATTGTCATGCATTTGTGCCTGGCAATTTGCATTATATTTGTGTCACTGCGTTTTTTATTTTACCATGATGAGCAAAGAAATTTAAGTGCCATAATTATGGATGTATTTCCTTAATTATCTAGACAAAGATATTGGTGTCTATCAGTACCATGAAAAGAAGGAACCAGGTAAGGTTTTGACATTTATAATAAAAGTTATAATAAGACTATAGTTAAAAATTCAGCATTTCAGAAATTGTATGTTTTTTATTTTATGTTTACATATTTGTGTAGTATATTGTCAACAATGGGTAATTTGGTTATTAAGTTTATTTTATTCCAAGATATATAATGTTTGGTAAATCATATAATAATTAAATCTACACATTTTGTTGTAATTTCTTAAGATTGTCCATCTTCTTTGTATTTCCACTTCTCTTTCCTGTCCTGTTTTTATAGTATGGCATCTTATTTGCTGATGAGATTTCAGATATTTCTATAATTTTCTACTTTTGACAAAGATCTTGTCCAGTTGTGGATTTTTTTCCTCATGGACCAAAACTATTCCCAATTACTTTGTTCTGCCACTAGTTAGCCATTAATTCATCCTACTTTTAAACTTTTTTTTTCAACAAAAAAGTATATACTTAAGAAGTTTTAAATTTCTTGTATAAAAATATAAAGTACAATATATTAAATTGGTCGAGCCTGTTACATTTTATTTATTGAAGATCCAGTAGAGGGCATTGTAAATTCATAGGAAAGCACTGATGTTGGTCTCCTGGATCCTCCTTTCCCGATATTTGAAATGGGCATTTCAGAGTGAATGATCAATTTTCTTTATCTGATTAAACTTTTTAATCCTAGAAGATTCATGATGGGCCAAAAGGTCTTTTCAGCTAGAATGACTTCCTGTTTGGTCCTTATTAAAGTGGTAGTTTGTTTGAGCATTCTATGCTGCCTCCACAAGCAGCACAGACTGGTTCTGGTTTGGATTCGGTTGTTAAGTTAATTAGAATAAAACTTGTTTAGTATCATTGTGACTGTTGAAATTGCTTCCATTTTACAAGAAATTTAGTTTACCAAAGAAGGAAAAATGTTAATTTTTTTACCAATCAAATATTTATTAAATTTATAGACCAGCATTGTTTTTCCCTGTGAAATATCTCTACTTTTCCAAAATACAAAACAGCAGCTTGCTGGCAATAGAAATTAAGATAGTTCAACTTTCTTTTTCTTCTTCTTGTAGAGCCACAAATGAAAGTTGGATATTTATATGAGAAACAACAATTAGCAGAATGTAAGAGTGTTTTCTGTTTTCTTGTTACTGCAAATAAATGTACAAATGTGTAAATGTATGTTTTTCTTTGCTTTTTAAAATCATACATACTGTAGAACTAGTTTTCTAAATGAGAGGCTGCTTTGTAAGAGAAATAGCAACTTGTCCCAGAGATAGACTTACTGTTTTTTGCACATTTTTTGGGACTATAGCTCTTACTGTTCCCATTCATTACAGCCAGGTTGGTGGAAACTAGTAATCCAAAACATGTGGAAAAGTTGCAAGTAGAATATTTGTTTTTTTTCTATTGAACCTCATGAAGGAGGTGGGTAGAGAATGGAAGAACTATTACAAAAGAAAACATTAAGCTCTGTCCTCTGTTTCTCTCAAACTACAACCTCCATGACTGATAGTGATTCTTTCACTTCACATAGTGTGTGGATCCTCAACAGTCTTTCTTAAGATGAACTCATTCAATGGACTGATTCCACTTGGGAGAGAGCATCCTGAAGAAACATGGGTGCTGAGATAAGCTGGGCTTTAAAAGTTAAAACTAATGTCTTGAATTGAATCTAGGACCCTATGGAAGCCAAGCAGCAATCAAATCAAAACTGTAATGCTACTAAACTGGTTCCTCCATTGTTAAGCAATCCACTGCTTACAAAGGAAATTTAATTAGGATCTCCAGAACTTTCATGGCCTTTATCATATTAATACCTCATCTCAAATTGACAGATAGGTAGTTTCAGATAGAAGTTAAACAGCATGAGAAAGAGGAATGAACGCTGTGTCATTCCAGATTGTTTTTGTTGCATGCGCATTGGATAGAATTGTTTTGTTCAGGAAGTAGTAGAACTACCATAATTTTCCCAGTTCCAATTATTTTTAAGTGGCTCAAATGAATGCCATGTTTAATGAAACTGAATGCCACTGAGACATCTAATAGGGCCAGAAATAGTACACTCCCTCTACTTCCCAACAGAGACTGCCAAACAGGACAACTATTGCTATTTCCATCCAATGCCTGGGCCTGAATCCTTATTGGAAAGGAAACAGCCCATTTGTTCCCTTTAGAATCTTCATAGCGGAACTCCTACCACCTTGCCCATAATATTTCCATGATAGGAAACAGAGATTAGAGATTGGATGAAGTTTATCCAGCAAGGATGGGTGAAGAAATGACTGTTTCTGGAGAAGTTGAATCACTGCCTGGTTCAAAGAGAAAACAGTCACCACCTGTATCCACTGATCTGTACACATCCCAGATAACTGCCTGAAATGAGAGGCACAGATTCTTCAATCTTTCTCAAAATAGATGATCTTGTAAAATACAGACTAAATCAGTTTGCAAGACGTTGCTCAAGTACCATTTAACTTTGAGAAATTTGAGTGGTTTTATCTGAAACTCCTGCAAAAATATCACAGTAGCCTGTAGGAGTTCTCCCCATCTCAGGGAGAGCCTCGTTGGTGCAGTGGTTAGAGTGCAGTACTGCAAGCTACTCCCACTGCAATTTGGCAGATCGAAACCCACCAGGCAAGGTTGACTCAGTCTTCCATCCTTCTGAGGTGGGTAAAATGAGGACCCAAATTGTTGGGGGCTAAAATATGCTGACTCTGTAAAACGCTTAGAGAGGGCTGTAAAGCACTTTGAAGCGGTATATAAGTTTAAGTGCTATTGCTATTGCTATCTCTGTCCAGAAGGGTATAGGTAACACTGAACAAACTGCTGGATATGAGTCTGAAGACACAAGAAAAAGAAAGAAATCAACATGCATCACTATTGCCATGGAATATTCCTGAACTGGTGTTATCTTTGATTACATTCTACTTGTTTTCTGCCATACTGTTCTAGATCTCTCTTTAACTTTTCATCTGTATGTCTTCAGTAAATCTAGGACTCCCCTCCTCCCAGAAACACAAACACATATTTCATTGATCAAGGAAAGGGCATTTGGACATCTCATCGAATACTCTGGTTGATTCTGATTTTGAGAGAACAATAGTTTGTTCAGTAAGACTGCTTATCTAATTATTGGGAAAATACCCCAGTGCCCTGAGGATCCATTATGTACTTGTGACAGACCACCAAGTGACGTGACAATATGATTATGTGCAGGAAAATAGATGACAGATCTTACACCTGCAGATTATATAACCACTGCCAGAGATTTCCAGGGATAAGCTCATAGTTGCCATGTGGATCATGAAAGCCCAAACCCAATCTGAACCCACACCCAAGACATGGAGATTAAAGTCACATAGCTCTATAATGCTATCATTTAGCTTTTATAACTAAGAGCTCATTTAAAAAACCATTATGTCTTTCTTACAATCGGCTGTTACAGTGTCTCGAATGCAGATTTCATTGCAATTCAGTATCCCATTCCTTTTCCCTTCCATATTTGTATACAGATCTGGTATTAACTAACAGCAGCTGGAGGCTGAGGCAGAAAACAACTCAAGTCACCAAGATGCAGGAAAGAGGGACAAAAAGCTGGAGACAACACCAATTTGAAGGCCTTTGTTCTCCAGCAACAATCAATCCAATGCCTCCCATCATGCTGCCCACTGATAGTCTCTGGAAATTTGCTTCCCTACCTTTATGATCCGTAATGCTCCATAGCTTCAGCTAGAGTGTTCCAAAATGAGTAACACATTAAGCAAGCTAAACAGTCACACAATAATTGAAGCAAGGGAAGCAGCATCTGGAATTCAGCTGTTCAACACACCTATCACATGTCAATTGGCCACCCACAATACTTCAGCAATACCTGATCCACTTAACTTCATCCCAGTATTATGGGCGAATGGTTCTTTTCTTCATGCTCTCAGAGAGTGCAGCAAAGCATTATGGGATGGTATATAAGTCTAAGTGCTATTGCTGTTGTGCCTGCAATATAATCGTATTTACTCGTATGGCCTTCCTAAGCAGCTATCTATAAATTTAACAAGATTTACATTTCTTCCACTATAAATATAGTACATGAGTGTTCACAATAATTTAAAAATCATAAAACAAACCCATAAATAAATGAATAACAAGAGACGCATATAGAAGTAAAAACAGTAAAAAGACAGGTTCTATAGTTAAAAGCAACTTAAAAACAAAGGGTCAAACTAACAAAATTCCTCAACTTGGCCCGGCAAATATTTGAAAGAATATGGACCTCTCAAACAGAAACGGAAAAAGAAACCTCTCAAATAGGACTTCCTTGATCTAGGCTTGATCACAGAGAATCAGTCATGCTCTGGTGACATTGGCAAAAACTCACTGTACATGATCAGAAACTAGCAGCTCATAATTGATAAACATTCTGTAGATTTCTGAGTCCAAGTTATGTACAATTTTAGCGGTAAATGTTCTTTGAATAAATATATTTAACCTGCTTTGAAAGTGGACACTTTAAATTATAAAATAAATTGATAATGGGATTGATAATGTTCATAATGCGGTGAAGCTCTACATTCCTTTTAATGTGGTCTTTTCAGTGTTTGAATGTTTTATGTTAAGATTATTCATGAACTGTGGATTCAAATCAAATCAAATACTAGTTACACTTATTCATTATGGCATGCAATATCTTACATATTTATTTTATTTGCCAGCTCGAAATTATCCTTGGGTACTTAAGAACAAACGTCCAGAAAAGCTTCGAGATACACTTAAGGAGCTAGAGGTATTTTTCAGAAAGATTCAAGCATAATAACAATTAATCCATGTTTTCAAATGTCTTTCAACACCTTTAATTTTCCAAAAGATCATCTCCTTCTGGTGATAAATTGGCTTTTGTATGGTGGGATATCCAAAACAGTTGCATCTTTGTTTTAGATGTCAGGCAATCTTTCCTCTTTGAAAAACAAAAGAACTTTAACCACACGTGAAATGTCTACAGTCATCTATTCACTGTCTACTTTCTATTTTCCTCCAGGAACTGATGCAAAATAGTCAGTGTGTACTGAGTAAATGGAAGAGCAAAGATGTCTGTCAGGTAAATGTTTTGACATGGTTTTGTAATGTTCAATCAACAGCACTGAACAATTGTTAAAGAGACTAATCTTAGGTTAACTTATAGAAAAACACACTGTTTGTTTAAGATAATTTCTGGATGGACATATTCACTTGAAGAACAAAACCAATATAATACTCAGTTGAATGCCTTGACAAAAGTGTCTCTTCAAATTGGAATCAATCATGAAAAATACATAATTCTTTCAATTAAAACAAGCTATTTAGAAAAATAGGCTGCAATCCTCCATACACTCACACAACATAGAAGTTCATCTGAAATTGGCAGGACTTATTTCTAAATATGCAAGGGTAGAATCACCCCATCACCAGCTTCAAACTGGATTATCAGAGTTAGGAGCATAATTTAATGTTTATACTTGACGTGTTTGTTTCTATGACACCTCCAAACTCTGTAGAATGTGTATTTTGTATTTCTGTAAATATTCACATAATATATAGAGAAAGCATCTGCTTACATCTTGTTAGCGGCATGGAAAGTGGGAACAGGTTGGCATCATAAAGTGTGTATTCCAGCAATCTAATCAACAGCTTTTTCCTGAAATACGTTAAAAACTACTTCTGCGTTTTTATTCTTGATATTTTTAACAGGCATATACTTGTATGACTTAATTAATTGAATTTTATTAATATATGCTAATAATTAGTCATTGTATCGGTGTAAGAATTTAATTGTCTTGTAATTATAGCTATACTTTATAATGATAAAGTTATTAAGCTGGATAATAGTTTGTCTTGCCATGTATTGTAATTTGAATATCCTTAGCTATTAACTAAGCTATTAACTATTAAAGACAAAATTTTGATATCTGATAATGATGCTTTATATTGCAGTTTTCTGCATTGTTACTTGAGAATAAACTTCACTGAGACCAATGAAACATATTTCTCCATAAACAAATGCAGGATTTTACTTTTAAAAGCATATGTACTTCTAGGTTTTGTTAGGGAACAATGTAAAATTAACTTAGATTGAAGTAATGTGCCTCCTTAACTAAAGAACTGAAAGGTAACCAGGCGATTATTTTTTTCATTAGATTGTTTTTTACATGGATCAAAAAATGTACATTGAGCCTGATTTCTGTTCTCAAAAAACTGGTAGGAAGCATTCTGAAACTGTAATTAATAAACATATATTATAGGTTTCCTCATGAATTAAATCAGCATGATATATTAAAAGGAAATCCTGCTTCACAGTCTTAACAGTATCACATTGATAGAAGTGATCTGTTCTGAAATTGAATACCTAAATACTTAAAATGGAAAACCTGCTTAGCAGCATTACCATTGATAGCCCAGTTATACAATTTCCGGGCTCTAGAGAACACCAGTACTTTGGATTTGTCATAATTAATGGACAAGTGGTTCTCAGCACAGTAAGACCCAAATGCAGAAAGTAATCTTTTCAGACCTGGCCTTGACAATGAAAGGAGGGCCGCATCGTCAGCATAAAGGAGAAGCGGGATCTTCGTAGTTGACAGCTTTGGGGCTTGGGACTCAATACGTCCAATGTGAAAGGCCAAGTCAGATAAGAATAAATTAAACAAAAGAGGAGCCAGAACACAACCTTGCCTTACTCCGTTCTTAACCGGGATAGGATTTGAAAGTTCTCCCTGCAAACCACACCTAACCTGACTAGAGGTCTGGTTGTACAAGGATCTAATTAGGAACAGAAGACGTCTATCAATAGAACTTTTGAACAGTTTTGACAACAACAGTCCCCTAGGGACTGAGTCAGACGCTGACTTTAGGTCAATAAAAGCAGTAAAATGTTTGCTACCTGGTATGGTAGTATATTTATCGACCAGGTGCGCTAGGACAAAGCAGTGGTCCAGTGTGGCACAACCCGCTTTAAAACCAATCTGTTCAGCACCAATAATATTAGACTCCTCAACCCAAGTGAGGACTCTACGTTGGAGATATTTAGCATACAGTTTTCCAATGATGGAGAGCAGGCTTATAGGGCGATAGTCAGCTGGGTTGTTCCTATTTCCTCGTTTAAAAACTGGAACAATAATTGCTAAGCTCCAGGAGGTAGGGATCCTGCCAGAAGTATTGATATGCGTAAAGAGTCTTGCTAAGAGAGGAATCCACCACTCGGGATTGGATTTTAGCAAATCGGGGTATAGCATCAGGGCCAGGGGCTTTGACTGACTTGAGTTAAGAGATAAGCTCGGTAATCTCAGCATGAGTCACGGGTTGCCAGTCAGGAACTGCAGGAGGCAGCTGTGGCCCAAGCACGGTCGAACTTGTTGACGCCTGGAAAATTGCCAAGAAATGGTTTTCCCAATCTCTGTTGGAAATACAGCAGAGGGGGAGTTCTTGATGACTTGGCAAGGAGCTGGCAATAATTTGCCAAAATAATTGAGTGTTCTGCTGAATGGAGAGGAGAAGTAGATCCCACTTCTCTCTCTTTAGCTTTCTTTTTCTTAGCAATTAGTCCTTTATACTCCTGCTTCAAGCGATAGTAGTCCTCTGGTGGGCATTTATCCCCTCAATTACGATAGACCAGCTAAACCTGATTAATTTGGTTCCTGAGCATCAGACACTCTTTGTCAAACCAAGAATTACTTCTTGAATGATATGGACCACTCGGCCTACAGACGGGTCCTAGGTCCCTTTGAACACTATTAATTAGTGATTCAAAGGCCGAGATTGTCCCTGGGCCACTACTTGTTAGGGCTTGATTGTATAGGCTGAGACACTCCGGAGATGATAAAAAGGAGTGGAACTTTCTTTCAGTATTAGAAGACCATTTTATCCTCCTTGTATACGAGGCCACATAGGGATCTAATATCTGGGGACCCCTAGGGAGATGTATATTTGTGGAAAGCCCAGTGATTGTAACCAGGGGGTAGTGGTTGCTCTCCATAAGGCAGTCCACACAGAAAGCACGGACTGCCTTTCTAAGAAGCTGGGATACCAGCACAAAATCAATAACACTACTCCCACGTGAGGAACTAAAAGTAAACTCACCAGCTAGATCACCTAGGGTACTCCCATTAAGAATTATCTTATTGTGTTGGACTTCTAAAAGGGCTAACTGAATGCCAGCAAAATTTGTTAATTCATCCTTAGAATGTCTGGCTGAAATCAGGTGTCCTATGACCTGGAGGGTTTCTTGGGAGTAGAGTGCCTCAATCGATGGGGGAACTTGGACTCCCAATCAGGCATTAAAGTCGCCCCCCCATAAGGATGTACAGTGCTTGGAATTTAGTTTCCATACAAGTAATGTAATTCTCCAGCACGCCCCATTGAGCCTTAGTATCAGCTTGCCTCATTGTCGGGGGAACATAAATGTTGAACACTAACAGTAGTAGTAGCCCTGGATCTTCAAATTTACGAATTAGAGATTCTGGAGAGAGCGCCAAGGGAACTTTCGTTGGTAAATCAGTATAGATTCCCTGGAGTCCAAGGAAATCCTTATCAGGTAGTGAAAGACTCCAGAGCTTGGATTTGACTGCATCCAGACGCTTTATGATTTGGGCCCTTTCTTATTGTGGAAGCGCACAAAAGGAGTCGAAGAGCTGTGTCTTCTCCTGGTTCCACAAATTGTCTTGACATAAGTCAGTCTCATAAATAGATGGAATCCCAGAGGCACTGACCTGTGTCTTATTTACTAAGGAACCTTGGGTGCCCAGGGCTGGTGTTGCTTCCTTTGGGGCCATTACTTCCCAGCTGATCAAATCAAGGGAAGCTTCCTGGTAAGATGTTACTCGCTGCGGTGGGGTTAATTTGGCCGGTTGTAGGAGGAACAGTCAGGTTACCATCTGAGAGGATGCCAACTGGAGGTTTTGCGGGAATAGGTGTATAATTAGTACATCATGTAGTATCCAAGATGGCATTCAAGGTTGGCACATAAATATGTGCTGCTGAGGATCTTTTGGGGGCAATAAATCTCCTGCCACTCACAAATTGTCGATTACTCAAGAGTGGCTTAATTGACATATCTTTGAAGACTCTTCTTGGCAAAATGCCGAAGGATCTTAACAGGGATCCTCTTCTGAAAAATAGTTTTGGGGTGTTGGAGTTGTCAAAACTGAGTAGCACTCTAGTGCAGTATTCAGGAGAGGGTAAAAGTTCAATCTTCTTCAAATCATCAGCTTTTAGCCCCAATAACTGTAATATATGGCCCCTCGTCAGCTGTGTTGAACTCCAGTGAGGTAAGTTGCCATTAATGGGATTAATGATGCGGACCACCTTTTTTTTTTTTTAAGAACAAGTTTTATTGATTTTTAAAGACAAACAAAACATAACACATAGAGGTATAAAACCTCCTTTCTAAGAATTACTTATAAATTTCAACAAGACAAATAAAGCATTATTTTTTAAAACATGGTTCCACATTATCACACTTAAAGCAAAACATTGGAGAGAAAAAAACCTCCTTAGTTATCATTTATACATATCTTTTCCCAATTTCTCTCCCTTTAATTTCATTTCTCCAAGATTTTATTAATTTAGAATCAAACATAGATAATCCACACACTAAACATAAAACATAAAACTTCTTTTGAAAAGTGACTTGGCCCCAGATTACATCTTTTTTGACAGACCTAAATCAAATTCATGCCCACCTTATATACCCTTCATATCTTATTAACCATTTTGTATTTTCTATATAACTTCTCCCATCTTTTCACTCTCTTAATTATATTTTATTTATTTCATCTTATTTCAAAGTCATTATACTTATGTCTTTTGTCCGTTCTTTACCAAACATCTATGTATCTCTTCCCTTTAACAAAAAATTTCCCCTGTAATCGCTTTTGAAGTATGACGCCTTCTCCTAAAATAAAGCTTAAAATAATACATAATTTCCATCCTGATTCTGCTTAGTACCTTCTACATATTAAATCTTAAAATAAAAAAATAGTAAACTTATAGTATAATTAAATATATAATTTCTATTCTAATTCTAATTCTGATAAGTACATTGTTTTAGAATAGAAAAAATAAAATACTAAAGTTATAATAATATTAAAACACTAACAAATTAAACTTTAACTAAGCATTAATCATTTAACAAGCCTCCTAATATTTAATCAAATATCAACATCCATCATTATTAAACATTAATATTTCATTAAATATTCCAATAAACTGTTCCAAATACAAATACTACAATACTATCTTATGCACTCTTGCAGAATCTTCTTTAATTATAAGCTATCTATCATCCTTCATCTCTAAAAAAAAACATTTTTTAAAAAAATCTTGTCCTAACCCGTGGCTTTTTTTTTCTTTTTCCCTCCCTTTCTTCTCCAATCTGGTCTTTTTGCCCCCTCCTCTCCTCTCCCCCTTTTTAAGTTTCCCTCTCTGTTGTAATTCTCTTTTCAATTGCTTTCTAACATTGTACCTTCTTTTCACCCTATTTTTCTTTTTCTTGGTTGTTTTATTAAATCTTAAATTCTCCTTTTCCCTTCCTCCCTTCCCATTTTCTTTCTTAATCAAACTTTTTAGTCCATTAAAGATGGCTTCTTCTTTTTCTTCTTCTTCTTCTCCTTCTCCTTCCTCCAGCGTTTGCTGGTACATAGAAACCGCCATTTCTAAAAAATGGAAGGCAGCTCCCAAAGAATCCTTGCCACTTTGTTGTCTTTCTTTTAATTTTTCATATTCCATTTTCAGTTCATCAACCCGTGGTACCATTATAGGTTTTTTTTAAAAAAAAACAACAACAACAACCCAAATGCTTTCAATCTTGAAGTAGTTTCCAAATGTCAGAGTTATCAAACAATCCAAACAAACAAAACTTTTTTCCTCTTCTTCTCTTTACAGTTTTTTCTCCAGAGACAAAATCCCAGATATATTTTAAAAGCCGTACTACCATTAATTAATGGTCTTGTAATCTTCAAGGCGTCTCCTCCAGCAAAGTTTAAAAAAAAATTTTTTTTTTAGTCCTCCCCTTCCCACTTATAACAAAGAGCTTATTTTTACCTTTAGAGAGCAAGTTTTTCTATGCTCCTTTGCTTTCTCCGTAGGGAGGGGGAGTGAACTTTCCTTCAGCACTTTCGCCGATGTAACAGATTCTTTTGGAAACAAATGAATCAATCCAAAGTCAGGTTTCCAGGGTGTTTTAAAAGTAACATAATGTCGTGGTTTAGCCAAGAAAACTTCTCCTTCTAAGACTTCCTCCTGCGCAAACTTGTCCGGTTGAAGAATCCTTTATGGCTGCCATGGAGACAGCCGCTCATCCGTCTCGGGAAAAAGGAGTCTAGCCGGCTGGGGAAGGGGGGTGCGATGTTCCCAGACCCCTGCCTGGATCTCCTCTGTCTTCCGCTGCCCCTTCAGGGCAGCGACAACCCCCAAATCCAGTTGGATCGGGGGTACCTTGACGGCGAGCGCAGCAGGGACCCGCAGAGAAGCGGATTCCTGCCGCTGCCGAAGCCTTACAACCGGAAGTGACCGAGGACCACCTATTTTGATTGTAAGACCAGGTGACTGTTTGCGTCAAAAGATGTAAAGTTCGAACTGTTGGTAGGATTACATTGGCCAGTGCTTTTGCTGAGGCTTGGCAGGGAGAACCCTGCTGTCGCATCAGGCTGCCGAGCTGTCAACCCAGGGCTCCCGCTGGTAGTCCAGGAAACTAAGTAGTTTAAAGTACTTAATATTTTATCCAGCTGGAGCTGAATGCTCGCTGTAGTTTCTGCAACTAAGAAATATTGCTGAGCCAAAAGTTCTGTAAGGGTGCGCTCATTTAAGGATTGGTTGGGGGCCGTAGTTTTAGATAAGCCTTTGTTCCCAACTCGGGGGGACAACGCCCTTAACCATTGGAAGATCGTGACAACCTGCAGCAGCCAGACAAAAGGGAGCAGGAGCTTTCAAACCAAGAGGCTGAGCTAAAACAAAGTCCTCAATCTTGGATTGCTTCAGAGAAGGTTGAGGAACCAGGTCAATGAGAGATCTGCTCCTTTTCCTTGTCTTCATTATATTAAGTAGCACAATAGAGGGGGAGCTGTGTAATATAGCATAGAGTCTAGTCACTGAAACAAGTCCTAAATCCAGAGGAAAAGGAATCGGGAGTCGAGAAGAAATGAGTCCTAGTGCAAATGTAAATGGTAGTTGTAAATTTTATTTATTTATTAGATTTTTATCCCACCTTTATTATTTATAAGTAATTCAAGGCAATAAACATACATAATACTTCTCCTCTGTCAATCTCCTTGGTTCTGGTTTTTGTATAGTATTAAAATTTTAATTGCTTTTCTATTTGTCTTTTTATGTTTACTAAGCTACCTATAGTAGGGTTGCCCTGTCAGGGAGATGGGCAGCATAGAAATATATTACAAAATTTCCCTACACAAACAACCCTGGGAGATGGGCTAAGAGGAAGTGATTAGCCCAAAATTACCCAGCTTGACTTTTATGATTAAGGCAGGACTAGAACTCCTGATTTCTAGGCCAGCATTTTAATCACTACATAAAATTGGCTCTGAAGCATACTTTGAAGCATTCTGAAAATTCTGACAGAGATAGATAGATAGATAAGTAGATAGGTAGATAAGTAGATGGATGCATTTGATGAACTGTATAAGAAGTAAGTTCAGGTCATTCTTGTTTAATAACCATTCGTTCAGTGACCATTCAAGTTTACAACATCCCTGAATGGTTGTTATGACTGAACTTTGCACTTATGGTCTGTGCAGTGCCCCACAGTCAATTTGCAAATTTCCCTGCTGCTGGCAACCAAAGTAAACGGAGAAGCTGGCAGGAAGACAAAAGTCACGGTTGTATGAGGTCTTTGCTTAACAATTCACCCAGTCCTTGATTAATGATGGCAACTGGGTTTGCCGGAACTGCCATTGTTTATTCTGCAGTCCTATTTTGCGTTCTTTTACTACATCACTAAATGACAGTTTACTGTCCCATTTAGTGTTATTGGACAAGAACTACACATGCGTTTGTACAAATTGTACTTTGTAACAATTGTTCAGTATTCATTTTCATCCCAAACTTATTTAATGTTTTTAAACATACATATTTTTTACCTGGCGCTATTTTTCCTTCTTGGCATCACTACTTTCTTTTCATTTGGAACACATAGATACAGATTATTAAATAGTTTGGTCATACTGGCTTGAGTCTGTGGTGCCTTTTTATTACTCAATTGTGTTTTCACTAGGCAGCTACCTGGAGAAAGATTTCAAACTTAAATGGCATACTTCTATTAATTATAGTGTATGCGAATTAAGGGAAGTACTTCAGTAGCATTTTTACACGTTTATATTATAATTCCTTTATTTGCTTTTCTTTGATTATTAATAATCTCTTACTTCACTTGACACATTTCAGTCGTTGAATTATATGACCTTTAAAATATAAATTTAATATGAAACTTAACAATTTGTGTTAATAAGTTACAACTATTATTTTTTCCTGTCTCTTTGGATTCAGCTTCTCTTCCCTTCAGGTATACTGGTGTCTCTAAACCTTTCTGGACCACAGCTGGAACAAGTGGTGATTGACAGAACCCTGATGGGAAAGTTCATCTCTAACACTATCAGTGATGGTAATTGTACCTATGTGCATGCAATTCAGCTGCCTACATTTAAAGCGGAAGAGGAGAAATAGTATGTCAACAGGTAGACCAATTATTACCACTGGGGACTTGCAAACATTGGAAGTAATTGCATGAAATTCTACAGCTACTACCCTCAGGACAAAACCACTTTAGGAAAAAAACATTTTTTATCAGCTGTTATATTCATTAAAAAAACCCTCAGGACAGCATGTAATTTCTCTCCAAAGCATTAAAGTTTTAGCACAAGTAACTTGTCCTATATGAGTGCATTATATTTTAGTAGGCTTGGTCACAGAGAATATTCAGCCATATTATACAACATGTATTAAATAAATATCGTAGATTGAATTCAAGTCTACAGTCAAAGCAATTTTTCTAGTAAAGAGCAATGGCTCTTTTCCATTTGTGATCTGTTGACAATGACTCACAAAATGTGATTTTTTTAAAAAAACAGTTAGATGAAGATGTTTAACAGTGACTTTTAGATTTAAGGCAAACTTCCACTATTGTATTAGGTCAGGATACTTAAGGACATAATTCCAAAGACAAATAAGTTACTTGTATCACCTTTATCAACTTCCTTTAATTTCTTAAAAGAGCTTTAACTGATTCCTCCAAAGCTTCTAATTGTTTTTTTCAATTCCAACAAGAAACAATGACATCAAGACTAAATAAATAGCATGTTCTAGAATATATGTATTTGCAAGAATTCACAGGAAAATGATCAAAACTAGTTGGTTGAAACTAAGATATTATGAAAGGTCTAGCATACTGTGAAAAAAGGATTCATCTGCTCATTTTGAGTTGATTATATTCTGTAATGAAATATTTTCACGGTAAAAAAAATTCCAACCAATAATATTTTTATAAGTACAATAAATTTCAATATTTATCAGTATTTCACTAGGTCAGGTAATTCATCTCATCTTGAATTTAGTCTTGGAGTTATATTCATCTTGATTCCATTTTCCTAGCCAATACCGTATAATTTTGAACTTTTTTTTACATTTTCTTTCATTTGTCTTAGTATAGGAGAGATATTTGCAGAGCTTCAAAGAATCTTTATACCACAATAAATGAATTAACCTAAAACATTAATCCCTATATGTTTTATCACCCAGAAGCATCAACTCTGATTTCTTTTGATTTGGGGAATAACCAGACAGTCTATCAAGCGTACATATTAATGAAATGAGATTAGAAATTATGTTCAGCATTGATATAAAACATAATAATTACTTATAGAAAAATCTTACGCCTACAAGGAAAAAGTTCTAAAGTCAGATTAAATGGCATTTCTGATATGATATAAATTTAATCAAGATAGGGCATACCATAATAATAATAATAATAATAATAATAATAATAATAATAATAATATGATTGAGAGATTAAATAAACCTGTTGAAAGTAAAGTAAGCCAATATAGTTAGAACCTGCTTGAAAGTTTACAAGCACCCATATTAAAATATTTTTTCTGTCCAAACAAATTATAGCTGCTGGATCCTATCTGTTTTGATTTAAGGTTAATTGAACATTAATTCAAAATCTAATATCAGAATCTTGCAGCCTTATATAAATGCAGTGTGAATAGAACAGTTAGAGGAACAAATTGGAATCTAAGGATCAAATTCTCCAAATTAATCTGTTAAAATATATTGGTCTTAAACTAAGGTGGAGATTAAAAAAGAAAGAAATAAAAGAGTAGGAGGAGATTAAAAAAACAGGCAAAAATGTAGGTGCTTAATTAGGACCTAGAAATTAGAGGAAAAAAACCTAGAAGTATGCACATAAGTAGGCAATAAAATACAACATGGTAACGTACCGATTTTTCCTGAAAACAACCTAAGGAACTTGAGGAGGTATTTTCATGAGTATAAAATTAGCTGTCTTCTCATTTTCAAACAAAAATGACTGACAATGTAATGAAATAATGAAGTTTATTCTCTTGAACTGTATTTTTATCATATTAAACTTTTGTCTACATTGTTGGACTTTTTTAGTATAATCTGGGATAAATATAATGCAATTCTTCATAGATCATGGCTTTGGAATATGTTATTTTTGACAGCTAATTTTGAGAACTGCACAGTACATGTCCATAATCTATTCTTTCTATATGGACTAACTTCTGCAAGCTCTGTCAAGGGTTTGATCCTCATCTACTGACTAGCAACGTGGATATTATTGGGTAGGGTTTTAATTTTATTGTTTTAGGATTCAGTTTCAAGAGTGATATTTGTTGTGTTCTCACTGACGGGAAACAGAAAAAAAAGGTGTATCAAAAGGAGAAGCTGGAAGCCCTTTCAATATTTAGCTGATAATCTCCTGGAAAAGGCTATTACTATTCCCATAAAAAGAATTGGTTGGCCTTTTGCTGCTTGTTCTTGCATTCTAATTAAATATAAATTATGTCAACCAAACCTAGATTTAAGAAACATTATTTTCTTTCTGTTTTTCAGTAAATCAGTTCCAACTTTCTACCATCTTCTAATTTAAACATTGTATATTCAGCCTCATTGGTATCACTAATAATTCTGCATAAATCTTTTCAAAGAGGTGCATGCCCGTACACGTGGAGACAGCCAGAAGCAGCTTCTGAAACAGTCAGTTTGAAGAGATGCTTCATTTTGGATGTTTCCAAAACATAACCTTTAAACGACTTCCACAGCCCTAATCTTTAATGGCTTTCAAATAATAGTCATGACAACTTTTTTTAAAAAAAATTTGTCATGACTATAGTTTTTACTAAGAGATTGGACAATCATTTGTCCAGAAAGGTATAGGGTCTCCTGCTTGGGCAGAGGATGGGATTAGAAGACTTCCAAGATGCCTTTGAACATTTACTGTTATTCTTGGTAGTTGATGAAATTATTGCCATAATAGGGAAAGATGGTGGTGGAACATAACTTGGGTACTACCCAAACAAACAATAAATGAGTTCTCTCAAATATTTAGAACAGAAAATAATCTACTTGTTTCTAATTCTCCCAGCTTCAATTAAAGTAATAATTAAAAGGATATCACTGTATAAATACTACATGGGATGTCAGAATGTTGATCTCTGTCTAACAACAGTGCCATCTTGACTGAAAGTCAGAGAGCTTTTCTGTTGAGATACAATTTTCAGAGGATTCCAATCTTGGATGTTGCATGAGGAAAAGTGCACACTTGCGCAACCAGTTGACTTGGGAATTCCAAATAGCAAGCACAGGAAAATATGCTAAAATGCTAGTTTGATTACTTAAAATTTACAGAAGTCTTGGATTAATTTGTTCTAAGTGATAAGCTTTCTCTGCAATATGGCTCAGTAAATGTTTTACTTGGGAAAAGGTAGTTTGCATTCTCTGGTTATTGAGGTGAATATTTTACTGTTATATCCCAATGAAAATAAATGGTAAGGGATTGAACTAAGTTGATTCAGAGAAACTCAATTTGATACATGTTTCTAGAATAAACATGTCTTAAAAACAGTTGTATAACAGAAATATCACTTATCATTTACTTTTAACTGTTCCTCCTAATTTACACTTTCTGCTTTTTTTAGATTTTACCGTGCATTATTATATAATGCAGAGCTACTGGAGAAACTAAAAGAAATTAGAATCCACTAATGATTGAATAAACAAGCTATTACCCTTAGATAGAAGAAAATGATACAATATTTTGTTAGTTAATTGCTAATGTATATCAAAATAAATAAAATAACAGTAAAAAGACTCAGACACTGTTAATTTACATATGAAATCTCTGTTCAAACTAATTTCTAAATCCATTCACCATTTTCAATAATCACATAAAAGGCAAAACTACATGGCGCAGGTAGTTCTATATGCATTCTCCCTCTGCTCTGAGGACTTTTAATCACATAACAGGTGGCTTAAGATTAAAAATGTGGTTTCTCCCCCTCCCCAACTGATCTTTTTCCCATGGCAGTTAAAAGAAAGGTCACCATGTTATTGTTTGTGAGAGAAATGCAGGTGTGGAGGGCATTTTTAATAGACAAATGGCTGCAAAGAAAAGGATTCCTTGACCATCTTTTCTGTCCTACCATATATCCTTTATTCCACCTGAAGTCATTTGCAATCTTTTTGTATGAAAAAAGGAACCTCCTGGAGAGGGAGGTCACATAATTACATAAAATGAAAATTCTCCTTAGTTAAAGAAATAATGGACTTACAGGAAGAAGCAAACTATTATTTCAGTTTTACAGATTTGAAAGGATTTAAATATATTTATTCAGTAAGTTGCAGCATCTAGCTGACTTTGCCCAGTTTGGCCAAATTTAAACAGAGTTGGTTCTAGTTACAATTTTTATGGGAGACCACCAGAAAATACAAATATATTGCAAATTTTAATCCCAAGAAAAGGCAAAGGCAGTCCACTGCCTTATGATGTAAAGAAAACTGATATGAATAGGTAGTGTGGTAACTAGAGTAAATAGACTTCGGAACTTGTACACAAAACTAGGTAAAAATACTTCAATAGGGATTTTATTCAGAATTTAAATAAAAATGAGAAAGTATGGTAATGTAATAAATTTAGAATTCACAGAAATAATATTTTAAAATGATATTTTGAACTGATAGTTGTCTATACTTCGCATTATTGTAAGACTAGGCAGCTTTTATTAACAAAGGTCTGCATTTAAATGAATAATTTTAATTATTACTGAGGTCTAAACATTCAGCTTGAATAGCACGGTGCTAAAAAAAAGATGCTGAAAATTTATTGTTTTACTTTAAATCAGCATAGCTATAACATATAAAAACATAATTCAAAATAACCTCAAGACAGTAAGAATCCTATAAAGGCAACTGTAATAAACATCAAAATCAATATACAATAAACTCCAAACTACTACCATAGAGACTTTGACTAAGATATTGCTCTTAAAACTATTTCATCTTTGAAATAAAAACATTCATTGTAATGCTTCCAGTATACCGAGATTTACTTAGCTAATTGCAATGAAAAAGCCTAAGTGGAAAATAAAGACAATAATAAAATGAAATAAGGAATTAGGATATTAGAGTATCAGGAGTTACAGTAGTGACAAATGCTAAATGTTGGCATCCCTCTACATATTGTATGAAGTTGTGCTTCATACAGCAGAAAGCTCAGCATCTTATAATTTGACTGCTTACAGAAATGAAATTATCAACATAAAAACTAGGAAGTTAATTATTGTATTGGAAAATTTTGGAGCAGAAGATATAATTTCATAGGTTTTGTTGCTTCCAAGCAGTATTAGATGATGTATTCAGTATTTAAAAAACTAAATCTGAATTGGAGTGCCATGATTTCCTGGTTATGGTCAGCATGCCATTTATTAAAGAAAACTATTTTTGTTTTTTAAATAATTTATACTTTTTCATCATGACAATATGGCAATATGTTGCTAGCACTTGTCAAAATCACACTGGGAATATGGGAAAGAACAGTATCATCATCAATAAAAAAAAAGATGGATATCATTTAATATAGGAGATTGAACTTTACTTTTAGAAAATGCCAAAACTGTGAAATTGGCATAAAAATTAAATAGGAAAATAAGGATACTATTTGATTCTCTTTAGAATATTTGGTTCTGTTTAAAGTTAGGGTTGCTGCAGAGAGACCTCCTACGACAGCACATTGAATTTGCATATAGATATTCCCATGTGGGCCCCTGATGTGCTGGAGTAGACAGCAACCTCTGGATGTGGCTGCTAGTTTTTGCCACAGCCTCTCTCTGGAGACCAAGTAACAAGCTGCCTTCAGGTCAATGAATATGGCCAGTGGTGGGTTTCAAATAATTCCACCACTGGTTCAGTAAAAATGTGAGTGTATGTGAGTGCACAGCTTCTGCCAATGGCAAGGCTAGACTAAGCAGCTTTTCGGGGCCTGCTCCCCTCCACCTCTGCTCTCTGGAGCAGCGGCTGCTTTTCTCCGCAGTGCTGGGAGAACGTCTTGTGCAATTTAGCAGCTGTGAGCTGCCACTTTCCCTTAAGTCCCATCTGAAAAGCGCTATGGCACAGAGAAGCAGCAGCCATGTTGAATGGTGTTTCTCTCAGCCGCGGCGCTTTCAGAATGGGGCTTAGAGGAAAGTGGCAGCTCACAGCTGCTAAATTGCGCAGGATGCTCTCCCAGCAAGAGCAGCAGCAGAGAGAAGCAGCTGCTGACCCAGAGAGCACATGGAATGTCTCCACAAGCGACCGAGGCTCGGCAAGGGTCAGAAGAAGCAGGTACAAGATCTTCGCTGCAGTGCTTTCCAGATGGGACTTCTTATAGGTAAGAGAACTGTCCAGTCTATTCCCAAACCGCTTCAGTCCTCCTGCACCCACGCTGTCCCCCCCCCCCAGCACGGCAGGCTGCAGACCAAATAAATTGCTTCAGCCCAGAGGCCATAGTTTGAGGCCAGAGCGTGGTGGCAGCATGCAGGCAGAGGCCCAGGGCAAGGCCGGAGCAAGGGAATTGTGTGTTTCCTGACCTGGCAAAGAGCAGGTGGCATGCTTACCTTTCATGAGCAGAGGGGGTGAGGCATAGAGGTGAGGCACGAAGATTAGCTGGGCTGTGTGGCGAAGGCAAAATATATAGGGCAGAGCTGGGTGGGGTAAGGAGGTGGTATGTTTTGCCGGTTCTCTGAACTGTGTAGAATCATTACTATTGGTTCAGTAGAACTGGTCTGAACTGGCTGAATGTCACCTCTGAACATGGCACAGAGATTTCCTTGCAGGAAGTTAAAGTATTTCTCTGCCAGATTATGTAAAATGATGCATTGATCTAATGTTGATTACCCAGCCCTAAGGCCAACTTGTCTTTCAGCTATCACCTCCCCTTGTATCATTCATTTAGTTTCTCATTAAGGCCATTTATAATGTCTCCAGAAGGTGCTGAAGACTTGGGGAACGCAGAGCGGGATGGAGCCCATTAAATGGCTTGTGTGATGTTGTCGTTGGGCTGGGGTTACTATATTATTTTATTTATTATATTATTATTCTCTTTTATTAGTTTTATTATTTTATATATGAGGTTTTAATATTCCTGTAAGCCACCTTAAGTCGCCATGTGTGACTACGCAGCAATATAAATTTCCTTAAATAAATAAAGAAATTATAAGCGGATATATTAAAATGCTGTGCTTCAATGATTAGATGGCCTAGAATTGGTATTTGAACATAGATCTTTTTAACATTTATATTTTATTGTGTTTTACTAATCTAGGTGAAATGTTTATATATTGCTAAACCATATATGATATGCCATATGCTAAATAAATAATTCACTTTTGAGGCATTCCAAAAGGTTATCTATCTGGAATCTATTATTAGTTTTTAATTCCTCCTCCTAATATAGTAGAAAACATAGTACCACTAGCTAATTGTGTGAAAAGTTAGCTAAAAGTTACTAAAAGGTTAACACAAATTAAGAAAGCAGAGCTTTTATTTTTTAATGTTAATTTGTTTGGGGAGGGTTATTTTGGGCTCTGGGGATTATTTGGGGGAGGGTTATTTTATGAGATCTTTGAAGTAATTTTTTAATTATTTTCCCCTTTTATTATAATAGATGTCTTTATTGTAATTTTGGAAGCCATAATGCAGGAGTAGCTGATACTCATTACAGTGTCATCACCATCCCTCCCGCCCACTCTCTCAGCCAAAAACATTGTATTGGTAGCTTTATAAACTTCAGGTGCCTGCAGAGCTAGTTGGTTTCATTCATTTTCATGTATGCTTTTCACTTCACAATTTTTAAAAAATGCACCAAACAAACACCTTACCCCATCCATTTCTATTTCTTAAGGCATAACAACTCCAAGAAATCAGTTAAGCCACAGTAATAACTGCCCTCTCATTTGGTACTTTTTAAATATATTTATGTTTCACTCGAGCATACCAACAATATTTTCACTCATCCAGTGTTAACCACTGCAGAAGAGATTATTATCTGACAGAACTTTAAAAGAAAAGAACCAATAGAAGAGATACTGTAAAATACCCATATCTTTAAAATATATCATAATTTGTTCAATTTTATTACATCTGCTTCCTAGGCTTTACTTACCATTTTCAAAAAGACACAGTAGGAGAAACACTTATATCAGTACATCATAGAAGTCATGCATAGTGCTGAAAATTTATTTTTATCTTCCAATATTCCAGTGGAGATTTCAGCAATTTATTTTGTTATCAGAGATAAGTATTAAAATGTTGTTGTTGTTTTCTTCCAGCTGTGCTTACTGATACTTTTATGATCTTTTCATTTTGGGAACAAAGCAAACTCTGTTTCATTCAACTCTCAAAAAAAGCAAATTCTCCAGACGTAAACAAAAGACTTGAAAAGCTCTCAAACTTCGATTTTAAGGTACAGCCTTTAATGATTTTGCAAGTATGATAATTGTATCATAATTGGAGAAGTGGATGCTAAGAAAAAGATAGGGATTTAGTATAAACTATAAACAAATCTTTTCAGTGATGCTTAAATTGAATTTCATATGGACTGTTATAACTGTCAAGAAAGATAAGCAGGCAGGCAGGCAGGCATTTCAGTCTACTTTATACTATAAGGTTTTAGAAATAGTTACCAAAGGTAAACTGTAGACAAACTTAGGCCGGATTGTGCTTAATATATGAGAAAGGGGCCACTGTATCAGTGATAAATAATCTCTTATTCAGATTCTGTTGTATATCTGGATCCTGATGAAGGAAGAACATCATGAAGCATTAATCAATCTGCAATAAGGAGCTTAAAAATGATAATATTGTGCAACAAAATGCAGCAAATAGAATGTTTACAAACTTTGCATAGAATATTAAAAGCCAAATTTAGTTGGCAGTACCAGACTAGGTCTTGAAGGTAGTATTGTGCTTGTAAAGCAATGCAAGATACAAGATGGACATAAAGAGGGTTTCTCTAAAGTAGTTTGGACTACAGCTTTCAAAATCCTTTGCCATTGGCAATAGTGATTTATAGTGAAAAGAACTGGATTCATTTTATAATATTGAGATTTGAGACAGAGGCTTTTGAATTAATTAACTTGTTCCATTCTGATATATTCTCAATATATATGAGATAGAAGAAATTCTTCAAATGAAACAAGAAAAGTTTTCATTTTATTTGTTTTCAAAATGAAAAATGGAAATTATTAAAAGACTAGTCTCCACTACATTGTAAGTATGAATATATGCTGCCTTTCATCCCCTATCACTGCCAAAATGTTATTAGATAACAAACATGACAAAATGTTTTGCTAACTACTGTTATTTTTGTCCTATTGCTTTTTTGTTATTTCTCCATTAGATAGATTTTGTATCTACCAGGCTCGTTTTAGTGAATTACACTAAATATCTTGCCAGATTATATTATAGAATTTGTTGGGAATGTTCTCTGCTAGAATGGACACCTAATATATTTTCCAGGCTGCTTCAGTTGAAGGCCTCTTTTCAATACTGAGTTGTGTTTGCAAGATTGATCCAATCTCTAAAACATGGATTTGAGACAGTTCACTGTTCACAAGGAACTGATATGTTGTTTACCTCAAGGTGATGTACACTTTTGTGTGTTTGTTAAGTTTGGACTTTTGGTAACCTTCATCAAATTCTATATATACTTAGCATCATTGCAAAGCAGCTTTGGAATAACTTACTGTAGTAATTTATTTTCCAAATCTATCTTGCATGTGTTTAATTATCCTCTCTTTTGGACCAAAAACATAGTTTACATGAACAGAAAACAGAAAAAAAACATGGATATTCAAGAAAAAGATTAAATGAGAACTATTACCATAATTGAAATATTTAAAGTTTAATTTTAATAATATTTCTAATAGTTTAATCAGCCTAATATTTATAACTGAAAAAGAATTTCTATTTATATTAATGCTGTAGCTCTATACAATTGTTGTTTTATGGTGGATTGCATTAACTGTAGGAGTACAATGATGTTTTTTTTAATTGTTGATTGTAATGATTGTGTATGCATATATATAATTTTACATACATTTTGTCTTAAAAACATTGGAAACAGTTCATAAATGCAGCACATTAAGACATTGTTTTTAAATAACTAAAATTGTAGGTGTGATCAGCCTTTGTCATAGGTATTCTGAAATATAAACATTAATTTTCAAACATTCAGATACAATTTATTTATTTAACAAAGTAGTGCATAACAAAAAAAAAACCTATACAGTAACATTATCCAAGGCAATCAGCACCAATTAAATCAGCAATAAAACAAACCCTCAAAACACAAACAGCAAGAAGGAAATCGCTAAACTATATGCACTTTTCCAAAAAAGAAGGATTTGCCTTCAGGGTAAAAGAAAAGGAATTTAGGCTTAGACCGTCCATACCTCTCTCCCTGGGAGAATGCAAATGACATGGGTGTGATGCTAGATTATTAGTCTCATGAAGTTGTTCCCGTGTATAGGCATATATATGAACCTCTCCCCTCCAACTGGTGCCCATTGTGTATGCTTACGCAGTAATGTTGGGGTAGAAACTATTCAGAAATCAGCTTGCCTATTGATTTTTTTTATAATACCTTGTCATTCTACATTTTGCATCCTGATCAAAACTCTTTGTTTTCAACCTTGCCAAAAAAGCACAACTTGTCAGTCTAACTCCTAATCAATTCAACAACCTATACTCTAGCTAGATAATCAACTTGTTTCTACTCTAACGTAAACAAGAAGTATTAGCACACCCACCTTCCAAAAATAATTCATTTGCAAACGATTTACTTTACTTCAAATAGAAAAGGAAACAGTCTATTGTAACTGGATCATGAAGAATATTATCCAGTATAGTATACAACTAAAGAAAATAATATAGAGCTGAAAAAGTGCAAAAAAAGGACAAAAATGAAAAAATGTTTGCTTACAAAATTGACAGTAAGAAGGCACCTAATAAATCTGAATAGTAGGAGACTTTAAGATAGAAAAAAAGGAAATATTTCCTTTTATAGTAGATATCTGAACTTTTAATTATGACAAAAACTAACCTAGACAATATCAAACCTGATGAATAATAACATTCAGGTATTGTAATGATTCAGTGAAGTCTGTGAGATTGCCATTAGAAAGATCTAGATTTATCATGTGTCTTTATTACATATTTTTATCTTAAATTTCCTCTAAACAAGAAGAATGAACTATTCATCTCTGTTCATGTGAAAATTTAGTAAGATGTACAAAGATATGTTATCAGAAGAACAAACATATGATGCGAGTTTAAAAAAAGTAATCTTATACTTAGTTACCTGGGAATTAGCCAACAGTTATAATTAAGTAAGAAATAAGTAGAGCTGGTGCAGTATTTCTATTCCAAAGGGAAAGGGAAGGGAAAGACATATTTTAAATTGTTCTTTATGTTCTTGTCTGCAATTCCTAAAAGTGTACTGCAAAAATGGATAAAAGCAGAATTTCCAGTTCCAATCAATTTTTAACGATTAAAACAATAAACTAGGAAAAGAAGATAATCATAACAGACAATTTTCTTAGGGCAGCTTTGTCCACCTTTATTATGGTACAACACCCTTAGTATGGTACAAATATTGATTAATTGTCTCATCATTATAAATTACATTCAAGAACTGGTGGGACCATAAAATAGAGAAAGTAATAGGAAATGGAAAAGGTAAAGTGCTCTGGGACTTTAAGGCATATGTCAGATTTAACAATTGTCACTAAGAAAGACAAAGTAGTCTGGAAAGTAGACATGGCAGTACCTAAAGACAGCAGAATAGAAGAGAAAGAACTAGAGAAGAGAACAAAATACAAAGACCTGTAAATAAAAATAGAATGATGCTGACAAAACAAAGCAAAGGTAGCTCTAATAGTAAAAGACACCGTGGGTGCAATCCCAAAGCAACTGAAGCACTGCTTGAACACCATTGGCATTGACAATTGCAAAAGACAGCTTTATTTGGAACAGCTTACATTCTGTGACGATATCTAACATCATAAAACATCACCATCTACCTATTCCATATCCTTGGGAAAGACCTGATAGTCTGAATATCTGGCTGGCAAATCTATGTGAAAAAAACATTAACATAAATTACTATTTTTGCAATCAACCCCAATCTATTCTAAATGGTCTATCATTTACAAAATACCTTTGATACATAACTTCTAATCTTGTTAAATATCTTGTTAAAGGGTTCATTCCCTTAAAGGAGTAAGATAACTTCTCTTGGGTGTCCAAATATATTTTAGTTTTTAAGTGAGGATCTAAGTATGTGGTCCTTTCGATTAAATATATTTTACAATCAAAGAGGATATGTCTTAAAGAGCTGGCATACTACATATACACAGTCTTTATTTGAATGGGATACCATGCAACTTCCTGTATCTTATACTGGAATCTAGTTGTTCAAAGCATGATCTATAGAAAGCTCTTCTAAGATGTTGGGATATATAAGTTGTTAAATATTTTTCCCTCTGGGAGGCTGATTGTGTTAAAACATCCACTTCAAGAATTTAGCATGTTTAATCTTGGACATAAATAGCCAAGATTTGATTGGACTGGAAATTGGATAAAGAATACATATTGTGAGATGGGCAGTTCAAGTGCAAGGAGACATACTAAAAGTCTGCTCTTTGAAACACAATTGGGTAAGCTATTTGGGTCCATAAGCAATATCTTCTGCCAATGATAGTTACTTTAATTGCTTGGTGAAGTTTTGTAGAAGATATATTTAATTTTGCCCTTACTGCTGGAGTTGGCAGATTTGTCCACTCCCATGAAGCATTTCAGAAAAGTGAATGGTATCTGATACAATAATATATTGTATCCCTACAATATATAATGATTGGAACTATTTTGCCACTTGTAAAAAGAGTTGGTGGAAAGCTATGGTTGGTGACCTGCCTTATGCCCTTACTGCAACTGCCTTTAGCCCTTACAGAACTGCCCTTGAAATGTGGGATGTTTTAAAATTAAGTATTTTAAGCATGCAGGTATTATTTCCTGCTTTTTCATAAATTATATATATTGCTTTTAACTATTATACCACTGAAGTACATAATACTAAGAAAAATAATTAATACACAGCAACTATAAACCATGAGCTAAATCAAAGTCTTGTCTTCCCTCTATCCTTCAACTAACCTTGCTTGGCAACAAGATTTTCAATCTCACTCTTGCAGATTCAACAATCTAATCTGTAACAATATATTTGATGAAAATATATTGTTTTAAACTTGTTTTATGTCTCTGGAAATATCAAATATTCAGGGCATTATAGGGTAATTATTATTGCTCCAACACCAGGCTGCTTATCTGGCTGCGTTTTCAAAATAAGGTTTGGTTAATTTCTGGCTGGGTGTTTATTTTCTTACTTTAGAACAGGGTTGATAT